AGCTAGGAATACAATTGTAAATATCATATGGTAAGAGTATATATTACACACCAAAATTGATATATATATACACATTTTTTATATTAATCTTTGATATCTGAAAGTCACATTGAACGCTGCTTAATCTGGAGTCAAGCAACATCGAACCCCTTTAAAGAAGGAATCTCTCCCAGTGTATATTTCTATTCATGAAACTCAAACTTGAGATTTTATTTTAAAAAAACTAAGTTCTTTTTACTGAAATTAATAGGTTGTTGGTACCAAAATTAATATATTTATTAGGAGATTAGTACATATCAGTTTTTATTTTTAAAAAAATTAGAGTTTTAATTTATATTTAGAAATTGAAATCTTAATTTAAAATTCAAAAATTCACCATCTTAAATGTTGATACTTAAATTTAGAAACCAATTATATATTATAATATAATCAGTTTTTAAATCTAAATATCAATATTTAATAAGATAAATTTTTAAATTTTGAATTGAATTTAAAGTTAGGACTTGTGTGCACTTTCCCCTATTTATTAATTATATTATAAATTGTGAAAGTTTGATTAATTAATTTTATATTACTGTTTTGATTAGCAAAATTTAATTATTTTATGTCATATTCACAAAATTTTTATAGTAATCCTCTACTATATTTCTAATAAAAAGATTTAGCCAATGGATTGGATTCTCAATAATCAAGGGACAAGAGTTTCCAACAAGTGACACTCTTAAGACTAAGAACATGATTGACGCTGTTTAGACAAAACGAAAATGTAACAAATTGATTTCCGTGGTCAGTGAAGAACAGGCGTTATTTTCTCGTTCTTCACGTGTCAAATATATTCAAGGATTAGATTGCTTTATTGATTGCAGTCATTTGAATTTGTGTATTTTGGATAATTGAATTCGTGTTTTTTCCGATAAAGTATCATGAGATTGGAATTTTGATTCCAACTTCAAAGAGAAAAAGAGAACTACATCCTAACAAACTAATAAAAACCACTCGACTCAATGAGTCAGGTGCCAATTTGTGTCTTTAAAACTTCATTTGTATCATTGAATTAATTACTCATTCATTCACATCCATATCCGAGAGAGTTTAGTTTTAAGTTATACTGTATGCAAATTTTGTTTACCCGAGCAGCGCTTCACTTTTTTAATTGCACTTAATTTTTTATATTAGATTTTAAATTTTATATTATATTTTATTAACTTTTAA